ATGTCACTGCGCTCGGCGAGGCCGAGCTGCATTTTGTAAATTCGCCCGGGTTGCAAGCGGCGCCTCGTGCGTGTCCCTGCGCGTCAGTAAAAGCAGTTTTACGAGGAGAGGCCTCGCCTCTGGCACAGTGCACCACGTCGGCATGCCGTCACGTATCGACACTAGAAGCACACTCGCACACTGCACTTGGACACGACGTCGCGGACGCGGACGCGGACGGCTGGACGCAGGCTTGGAATACGAATGCCGTGACCCGAGCAAATGTATGCGACGCGCGACTCTTCCTTGTAAACAAGGGGTTCTAAGCGCCGTGAAACTGCAGCCTAGGTCGAGGCCATGCAGTCGCGAGTAGATTCGCGCGTCGCGATCGTTTGTTGGCGGATCGCGACGGAACTCTGGCGCTGAATTGCGCCACGCTTGAGATAACTTGCAGACTGCTCTGACAATGATACACGAAAGCACCTGATTATCATAATAATAACATCATTAATTAACGGGGACATGTTTTAGCTACATGCAGTATGTATTCGGAGAAAAAGATATGGTGATGACAACCACAGTGTAGGTGACAATTGTACGAGTTCTGTATACAAAAAAATTAAGCAAAAAAATTTCTCTACTGTTTTTCAAACAGATGTGTGAGCCAACTATACTGTTCTTTTCTAAAATAATTAATTAAACTACTTACATTAATTCTACAAAACTAATTACTAATTAAACAACACATTTATTCAAAACTCTTATAGTTGTCACCTATATAGTTGCCGCCATTATGTCCTTTTCTCTGAGTGTAGGATGAAAAATTATTACATATTTTTGCGAGAAAATTGAATGTCGTAATCAAGCTACTTAGCCTACGACTTGGACTAACTTTATCTCTTTCAGCCATTGGCACTGATTTCTTTACATATTTTGAATTGTTTGCTGAAATCTCAGACCTATTTATTAGTTATATTTTAACACACACACACACATATATACACTTTTCGATTTTTCCTACACGGAGAAAAATAATGCGCTGGCCCAGCAAATTTTCTAAATTTTCTACTAGCAAAATCTTTTCATTATTATATGGACAGAAAAAAGATTTGCTAAAAGCAAAAAGAGTGCTAATCACTATTTGCTGGATATAATTTGCTGAATCTATAAATTATTTTGCTGTAAGAACCATGATGGATTTATATAAGCAGTTGCAGTTTTGCTCCGATAGCAAATAAATTTGCTAAGGATACATTATTTTGCATCAATAGCAAATTCTTAGGACAAATACACTCAACACATTTTGTCTATCCTGGCAACGAAACTACTTCTGCTCTGATAACGAATAATTTGTAAAATTAGTTACGTCAGCAAAATTTTGTTGATGTCATTACGAATATGCAGCAAGTAGCAACGACGATTTTGCTGAAAGAGCAAAATTAATTTTTCTCCGTGTACAGATTAGTAGGCATAATTGCATAAAGCTTCATCTCCCTCTTCCTGTCTCTCGCTCGAGACACAAATCATTGCCATGAAACGGTCTGTCTCTCCGTTAGATATTTTCTTAAACTTTCTCGAAGTGAGAGAAGTTACTTAACAAGCCGGTAACGTCAAGTGACTCAGTGAGCAACTTCTTTTACACCTCTGCTTCACTCCCAAGGGAGAGAGAGCTGCGTATTCCGCTTTCTTCTGGAGCGTCGCGTTCAACACGCGTCAGTGCGCGCCGACAATGGGGTGCACCTTCAACGAGTACACGTAGATTCGCGATAACGAGGAGAAGTTTCCGCGACGGACGCAGTAGGGATTTGACACTTGATCGTCGGCTAGTGAGCGGCCCCGAATTCGGGGCTGGATGCCGGACTGGAGGTAGCCCGGATAACCGAGTCACCTCGGCTATCGTTCCACGTTAACGCTGCATGACTACGTTTATTTTTTCCTGCTCGTCCCGTTGTATTTTACGTTAATGGCGCTGTGGAGCGTCGCGCACCTTTACCTTTGAACCCGCATTACGGTCGTGCAACGCAGCCATTACCTTTTATCCGACTGATATGACCGAAAAGCCGGCCCGTGCGCTGATAAATGGCTGGACCGGATTTAATTGTGTTTATTGGAGCTGGAGCGCGGATAGTTGCTAATAAACGTGAAACGAGCGAGTGTGTATCGTTTGCGATACTGCCGAACGCGCGATAATATCGTTAGCATTGCGTCGTGCGCCGTTTATTTGAACGCGGCGCGGCGCTTTCGGTGTATTTACCGCGTCGCTGATTTCCGAACAAAGGCGAGCACTCCCGGATATAGCGTAATCGATTTATTAGCAGACTGATGGATTATCGTGGAAATCTGGCCGCTTTCAAAGAGACCGAATGCGCGATGCAACGTTACGTTGCGTTATCGCGCGGCTGAATCGTATAAATTGCACGGCAACGATTACTTCGACAGTACCTCTCTCTCTCCTTCTCTCTCCCTCTCTCTCTCTCTCTCTCTCTCTCTCTTTGTCGACTCTTCAGTGAGCGTAATTTTAATTCACGATGAAGCTTTTACCGGAAAAGCGAGCAGGTGCTACCATTCGACCAGAACGAACTCCGGAGCAGCGGAGTCCGCGTCTCATTGCCAAGCGCGAGAATGATGCGCGATTTAATTAAGGAAATTCTAACGGTTGATCGGATAAAAGATGAACGTATAATATGCGTATAATACAAAAGGTTAATGAGACTACAACAATGCGTAATAGAAATTTCGCTAATCTTTACTGTATCGTATGATAACATCACATACATGATAAGTTGTCAAATTTAAAATAACCTCATAAATTTATTTCCATGTTTATTTCATGAATTTGAATTTTAACATAATACATTTCCAATTCAAATTAAATGAGATTATTTATTAAATACAATAACAAGTATATTTCATATTCCTTTTTTTTACAATTGATATTGACGTTAAATGAGTGGTGGTTGCGCTTTAAAAATATTTCATAACTTTACAATAAAAAATAATTACATTTTTAGAATTTTATTATAAATTTCGGCTCGTTAATTACAGAATTGCTGTTTTACGTCAGAAACGTTCGCTTTAAACGATTTTATTAAATAAAACACACGGAGAAAGAAATACCTAATAATTCATTTGTGGGAGATAAAGTTCGTATCTCACAGAAATAGCCTCTACTCCGCAGCGATAAGCTTTATTTTGCAGAAATAAATTTTATTTCTCAGAAATAGAGATATCTATTTCTCACTATATTGAGATATTTATATCTCACTAATAGATCTCCAAGTGTGTTTTCTTCTCACTGCATTGGGATTGACTGAAGTGGTAGCGCTAGAACCTCCTTAGATAGCCTTTCGATTCACTCACGCGTGACCGTTTCACGCTCGATTCTTTTTCGCTTTTCTCTCTGCGGAACGTGTGCCGGAGAGCTTTGACGTATTCTCAAGTGATGACCGCGTGCGCAATTATGGCGCAGCCGTGTGTGCACTGCGCTTCCGCCTTACCCTCTCGAAATTGCAGTTCGATCGCGAATACTATCCGCGGCGCGCGTATTGCACCGCGTGCAACGCAGACGAGAATCCCAAACCTTACTATACCCACGCGTCTGTTCGTTTCACTATTGCCTGGTGGAAAGAAACATATCCTCCAGGGTTAAGAGTGATCGATTCCATCGAGCGGTCGTTCGGGCGCTGCTACGAGTTTTCCGGCGCGTCGCCGCTCGTCGCTCGTTCGCACGCGAAGGAAAGGAAAGAAAAGGCACCAGGAATAACGCCACGCGACGTGGAGTAACGGGGTTGCTCTTGATTGTCCTCGCGATGCACCGACCAGCCGAGCGGTACCGTTCACTGCGGACTCCGCGTTCTACGGCCGTCATAAAATCACATCGTTCCGTGGCGAGGCTATCGGATCGGCCAGGTCTCTGTCTTCGTTCTGCTCTCTCTCTCTCTCTCTCTCTCTCTCTCTCTCTCTCTCTCTCTCTCTCTCTCTCTCTCTCTCTCTCTCTCTCTCTCTCTCTCTCTCTCTCTCTCTCTCTCTCTCTCTCTCTCTCTCTCTCTCTCTCTCTCTCTCTCTCTCTCTCTCTCTCTCTCTCTCTCTCTCTCTCTCTCTGTTTCTCTCTTTTTTGCTCCTTTTGATGTTCGCCTGTCGGTTTTCTCTTCCTCCTCCTGCTTCTCCTCTTCTTCTTCCTCTTCTTCTTCTTCCTCCTCCTCCTCCTCCTCCTCCTCCTCTTCTTCCTCCTCTTACGCACTGATAACGACATCTTCTGGCAGGGGTTTCGCGGGAGTAACCAACGGTATACACGTCGCAAGCTGCTCCTACATACAGCTCCCTTCTCTCCCTTTCCCGGCGGCCCCGTTTCGCTTTTTTGCTCGTCCTTTTTCATTTCTTCCCTGCCCTCCGTCTTCTCCCCCGCCTCCTCCTCCTTCTCCTCCTCTTCCTTCTGCGTCTAGTTGGATGCTGCTGTTGCTGCTGCTGCTGCTACCGCTTCTTCGTTCTCTTCTTCTTCTACCGCCGGTTGCCCCCTTTCTGTAACGGTGACGCCGGCTTCCCGTTACGCGTCCAGCCTGAATCGCCCGCGAACGCGACGGCTTGTTCCTTTGCACGGGCGAGCTTCGATTGCATTATGGATGCAACGAGTTACCCGCCGAATGGACGAAAGAAAGACGCCGGCCGATGCTGCATGAATGTCCCGCGTATGTCTCGGACAAGTTCGCAATGTTACTCGACGTGGTGAATACGAGCGACGTGTCTCCTCTTGTGTATAGCGTATTTTATTTAGAAACTTGACACTGAGTAAGGAGGAAAAACGACGCGAATGAAAATCTCGAACAGCAGACAGGGATGTCCCTTCGGACTGTTCGTGAGAGGAATTCGCGGACGTGATTTTAACAATAAATCTTTGGGGGAATTCGGGATCGAGATTCATCTCAACTGAAGACATAGGAGGAGGTAGTGATTCGTTGCGATCTCCTCATCAGGACGTGTCCGTCAGCCTTGCATTAATTTCTCCTCTTTTTATCCTGTTACAGAACAGCATTACGCGGCAGCTGATTCAAACAGTTCGACGCCCGCCAAGAGCTTCGTACCTTGCAAGGTTTGCGGCGATAAGGCGAGCGGTTATCATTACGGCGTAACTAGCTGCGAGGGTTGCAAGGTGAGTATCGATTATCAGTAATTGTTATCGCCAACGAACGCGAGGAGAGAGTTGACTTAATAACCGGACGCTTCTAGCTGAGAAAGCGTGCAAACTGTCACGTTTATGTTAATTTTCGCGTATCGTTGTGTATATATAATGATACTTTCGCATATCGAATAATGTGTGTGGAAAAGTCGCCGCAGGGCGAACGTTTCGTCGCGGTTCTCTTCGTTATCGTCGATCTTTCTCTCTTGTGCAATCAGTAAAAGCAATATTTCATCGATAATCTATCAACACATCCACCGATTTCCACTTGAAACGTTCCCACTGTCTTCTTCTCCCTCTTATATCTACCCAATGTTACCACAGTGGAAGTAAGATTTCCCTGCAAAATCTCTAATACACATTCTTTATACACAACATCGAGTGCAACTTTTTATAAGTATACTGTCTAAAGTACTATCAGTGTGTCCATTATTGAAATGCTAGAAATAGAATGCAAGCTTATTTGCATTATCTACACATAATTACTTCTTTATGCTGTTATAACTTCTATTATCTATGCACTTTTTCCGCCCTGAATTTTCCTGCGTTCCTATCTAACGCTTTGTTTTGCCTTTACTTCCACATTATCTATACACACTCATCCCTACATGGTTTCTCCTATATATATCTGACTCTCATACTTAACTCAATACATAAAAATTATTCCAAACTCGCGTACCACGTTCATCCATACTTGCACGCCATCTAACCAAAGCTCAATTCTAAAAGAAATAAGACGGAACAGTAAAATAAGAGTATTTTCACTGAAAATCAGTGAATACTCACTGCTCATCGGTGAAATAGTTTGTTTATTAGTTTAATCAGAGACATTTTACTGTGTATCACTTTTAGAGAGTAGCAGTTTAGTGAAGAATACACTGATTTATTTCAAAGAGTTTGACGATCTGTTTGAGCAATTTTACTTTGGACAGCTTTAAATCTAAACTGCACGTTGTCGAGATCGATTTGATCGTCGACGGTCGCGTGGACCATCCGGGGAGCAACTCTGATTTTATTGTTTGTACTTCGCCGTTGTCGTGAGGGACAACGAAATTGTTCACGCGTGAGATCTGAGGGAAGAGAAAATCTTTAGAGACGACATAATCAAGTTGCTCGCCGATATTCCCCTTCAGATACTTCACGGAGTACCCGACGATCGATTTGACCTCCGGGCGGTGGTAGTGGGGTCAAGTGCAACTCACAGCTTCGCTCCGCAAGGATGCATGACGACGGTGCATCGTCGGGTATAATAATCCGAAACGACTCGTTCGCACTTCGGGGCAGGATATTTATCGGTACGCGCGCTTCTTAAACATCGTGGGAGAGATGCACACTCGCCGCTGGCGCTCCTCTCCTCCCGCCTCACTCTCTCTCTCTCTCTCTTTCTTCCTCTCTGCACGCCTGAGATTTCATACGCGGAAGCCCTAAGGCCAGAGTTAACGGTGAAATGGTGCATTCTCGCACTCGCGCTAGCGAGTTCTGCGGGCTAACGCACGCACGCACGCACAGGAACGCGCATGTTTGTCGGGCGCGCACATAATTATAAAGTCCACATAAAATTAGTCGAGGAGCGTGTCCTTGTTCGCTCACGTCTCTCTGAATCGCGGTTTGCCAAAATTCCCCCTCCAAGAATAACAATGAAACACGCGATTCCGCGTTCCCGATATCGCTCGGCGTCTGCGTCTTCACTTCCTTGATCCTCGTAAAGGAGTACGAAGATCCAAATGAGTGAGAAACTGTGCTTCAAGATGTCGAGAGATGAGGCAACTTGATTTCGATTTGATTTGAGTAGAGTGAACCTTATGAACGCGTATGATTGCGATTTAAAGACTCGCCGCGCGAGTCGACAAGAGACGACGGCTCCTCCGCATTATGATGCGTACGGCCATCGCTGGCTGTATCTACTGCGTGGTGACGGTGCAGCGGTACATTTCGTCTGACCCAGCATGGCGTTACACTACTGGCTCTAGTTCTCTGTTGCGGCTCGAGATGTTGCACCGTATGTCCCCTCGGAAGCTTGGCCGCGTTAGATAAAGCAACTCGGCACTTGAGAGACCCGGGATGCTCATGAAATTATTTAGCGCATATTAAACGACGTGTCGAGAGAAGTAGAAGAAGAGTATATTACATCTAAAAGAGTATAGTCTCATCCTTAGCGGAATTCTTTGAGTTTTAGAGAACTTCACTCTTATGTGTGGCCCCTCAAAATTCTTCTAGAAAAGGAAAATATTCTGAGCACAATATTCGTAGAGTTGGAAGAATCTCATCACCTATCTACAGTACTTTTTAAAATACAATCAGTGTATTTCACTGAAATGTTGTGCTTACAAATGCTGGTCCAGTTAGCATTGCAAGCAGTAAAATCTTGCTGAAAAGAAGTAATTTCTTATTCAAAATAACATAATCTCATCTTTAACGGAATCCTCTGAATCTTAGAGGATTTTTCTGTTAGGTACGACCCCAAAGGGTTTTTCTAGAACCAAGAAGAAGATGTTCTGAGCGCAATATTCACACAAAAGCTCGGCTAATAATTCGACGTGAAATTCTATTTTGGTGAATACACTCGGCATGTCCACTTGATATTTTTATTACTTCCCAGCGTGATTGAGTAATTTAATATCAATTGCGCGCCGGACAATCAATTGTCGAGCGATTCATTATCTCCTTTCGCTCGGTTTCCCCATTCCTCGCCGGGTGGAAGAATCTACAGTTCGCAGTGCAATCTGACCGCGTGTGATTTCGATTTGCCGAAATAACTGTGACTGTTACTTTCTTCGTCACGCGAGCAACGAAGACAAATAGACCGGTGCGACGTGACATATCGATTTTAGAAACAAGCTGAGGCCGGGCGTACGCCATCGGTTACTAATAGTATCGACAGTTATATTACGGACAGTCGGCCTATCTGGTATTCCAGGATATTGGATGTTGGATACACGTCGACGTTGTTCCACGTCGCCGTTATACGAATACCTTCCATCAATTAACACCGATAGTAATGAGCCAATAAACCGATGCTTTCAGCGGCGAACGACTCGCGCATCTCGTCCACATTATTCCATTACTTCCGCGTGAGCTTCTCGCGCGGAGAAGTTATACTCCGGACCGCTGTTTATGTAATAGATATTAGCCAGCGCGTGAAAGGAAAGGCTGCAGGATGCGTGAGGTGTTCCAGGATCGTACCAATCTGTCCCTCTTTCTCTCTCTTTCTCCCTCTCTCTCTCTCTCTCTATCTATCTCGCGTGTTGTGTGGATATTAGAATATAAACTGAGAACATCTAAAGGGAACTCACACGTTCAGAGAAAGTTTGAATTTTTCAAGGCGCATAATTAAATTAGTAATTAAATTTATCCGGTGAAAACTTTCACCGAAAAAGTATTCCTCTTCTAATGAGAAAGAGAGAGAGAGAGAGAGAGGGAGAGAGAGAGGTGCACTCGATCGGGGATCTACCAAATATTATTCTTTTTATCCTTTTGAGTCAAGAGGAATATGCGCACTTGAAGCAGAATATTCTCTTACGCGTGACATGAAAGAGACGCGACAAGCAAGACTTGTGCACACAGAAAATTGTCATCGTACTAAGAAAAGTAATTACTTAGTTCACTTTTCTTCTTTTAAGTTGGTTATCTTTTGGTTATCTCCAACAAAGAATACTTTCTTTATAGTAATCTTAAAATGTACTCAGGTCTAAGGAAAGCTTATTATCGTGTATTCAAAAGAAGAATTCATTCTCTTTACAAGAAAATATTATAAAAGTTCTCCTTATGGAGAAAAGAAAATCAGTTTGACTTTATCTAGTAAGCAAACCGAATTTTTGTTTTAATTCAATATTCTTGGTCGAAATGCTAAATTTATTTCAAAGTGCATTTTGAATAAATTTGATGTTTACGATGAACTCGTGGTAGATTTGCTGATGTACGAACTTATGAAATGTTTTGCACAAGCAACATTTACTCGAATGCAATATGTATTTTTCTACGTACTTTACGTAATTTTTATTTGTACTGTGGCTGAGAGAAGAAATTTCTCTAATAATATTCCCGGCAAACAACGGTGACTTTTACGTAACTTTTGCCCGGGGGAAGAATCGATTTGTGGTCGGAGAGCCCGTCGGCCGAAAGCACTTGATGATTCCAACACGTCGTCGCATAAGATATCATTTCGCACGAAACGGCCGGATCGCTGATCGTGTGTGAGAGTAGGCTGCAAGCATAATTACGAATACGACCGCGGAATTCCATCCGGGGGAATGCCCGTGATACATTTATGTCGCGCATAAAACCCTGGCTGGAGAAGCCGCTGTTCCCACGAGCGCGTTTTCCGCTGCCTCTCGCTCGCTTTTCCCGCCGTCGACGTCCCGACGATATAAAGAAGGGCGTGAAGTGTCGTATTTTATACGCTAGGGGGATATAATTAACCCCCTGGCGGCCTATGGGATCGTTATTAATAGCACTTCCTTACTTCCTGTTCAGGGCTTCTTCAGGAGGAGCATACAGAAGCAAATAGAGTACAGATGCTTGAGAGACGGCAAGTGTCTCGTCATCAGATTAAATCGGAACCGTTGTCAGTACTGCAGATTCAAGAAGTGCCTAGCCGTCGGCATGTCCAGAGATTGTGAGTATCGTGCGAGCGTTTTCGTGACATTTTTACACGTCGCCGCCGCTGTTGCCGCCATCGCCGCCGCCGCCTTCGTCGTCGTCGGACCGACGCGAGATCGATAAATTCTAAAATATGTACCGACATCGGGGAAACGTCGGAACGATATTATTGAGCACCTAATTTCCCGGCGAGAACGTATATCACCGATCGAGAACCCGGTATTACAATTTGCGTCGTAGCATCGCAACCGGCTCCGTGCTCTCTCGGCTCTCCTGCATACCGGGGAAACTCCGCGGCACCGTTAGAAATTCAAATGGAATCCCAGGGAATCGCACTTATGACCGTCAGTAATGCAAAACCTCCTGCTTGCCGGCAGAGAGAGGGAGAAGGAGCAAAGTAAACCAAAGGGCAGAGCCGTGTACATAATTAAACTTCGGGGGTTGCAGCGCGCGCGATTCTCGAGATAGCAGTAGTCGTCGTACGCGCTTCATCGTCTGTATACCGAAAACGGAATTGCAATGCACTCCTCGTAGACTGCACGGTAAGACTCTCGTGTTGACGTATAAGGATCCGAAATGTACAAGCTACTCACACGTACCCTCGCGATTTTCCACTTTCGAGAAACGTTTCAAAGTCCTAGCGACGTCAGGTATCGCGGTACGGAGGGCCAAAATCCATCCGAAAATCGCACAGCGAGAAACGCTTTTGTCGATTGCCCGAGCGAGGTGCATTGTGGCGATCTGTGCACGGCAAAAAAAATTCCAGTTCATGTAATCGAATAGGGACCAGACGAAAAACTTGCTGACAAGAAATAGTATCCCTGTTGTTGCGAAAACATTTGTCCGAACGCTCAGCTGTATTAAAACTCGGTTGAGGTACTCCGACAAAAAAGAAAAGATCGACCCAATTAAAATTATTTTATTTTTGGCCAACCATATTTTTTTGCTTGTTCCAGCATGAAAATGGTAATAATAACACACATATAAGATTATTATCGCTAATATTACAGTAAAATTTATTAGAAATAAATGATTTTCTCTTGATCATAATTTATATTATTTCTCTATGTGTGTGATCGTATTTACAAATGCCAAATATATTTTTATTTTCCATTGTAACTGACAAGTAAACCTATCCAAAAGTTACACTCCGATTTCTTTCTAATTTGGCATAAATGTAGAAGTATAAAAAATATTTAGATCATATTTTTTTTCATTTTGGCCCACTTTAAGTTTCACGGGCAGTTTATAACTTTTTAATATTCTCACTCCTATCATCAACAAATGCAACAAAAATGCATAAGAAATAAAATTAAATACAAGATATAGGCGTTTCTGGTTGGTTGATTATGAATATGAAGTCAAATGTGTAAAATTATTTGTATAAATAATAAAATGTTTAAACAAAACATGTAAAAAGTTGAAAAAAATTATTTATACAAATAATTTCTCTGTTTAGCCGAGATTCGGAACATTTTTTACTAATTTAGCACAAATTTAAAATATTTCGGTTGGAATCTCGGCTAAAGAAATTTAGAATGGTTCCTGTCTTAGCTATGCCGGTTTTGTTAAAATTTTAATAAAAATTGGATTTCTCTCTCTCTCTGTCTCTTGGTTTGGCCGAGGTTCGAGCCATTTTTGACCAATTTAGCACAGATTCAAAATATTTTGGTTGGAATCTCTGCTAAAGAAATTTAGTATAGTTTGTGTCTCAGTTATGCCAATTTTGTTAAAATTATGTAACTATATTTTGTATTCAATTTTATTTCTTATGCATTTTTGTTATACTTGTTAATAATAGGAATGAGAATATTAAATAGCTATAAACTGCTCGTGAAACTCAAAGTGGGCCAAAATGAAAAAAATATGATCTAAATATCTTTTGTACTTCTACATTTGTGCCAAATTAGAAAGAAATCGGAGTGTATCTTTTAGGTAGATTTAGAGAGCAATTGGCTAAGTAGAAATCTCCTATAGGGATTCTTTTTGTCCTCGCACAAACTAGTTTTTCATCTGTTTCCCAGGTAATGGAAAATTCAGTTACATTAACCTTGTTTGTCTTTTCCCGTGTGCAGCTGTCAGATACGGCAGAGTGCCGAAACGATCGAGAGAACGCGGTCCGGAGGACGCGATGTCGACGAGCACGACGACGACCACCACCACCACCACCACCACCACGGGAATGCAGCAACTGACCTCGCCCGGTGCCGGCAACAATAACAACAATAACAACAACAACAACAACAACAGCGCCAGCAACAACAACAACAGCAGCAGCCAAAACAACAACAACAATAACAACAATAACAACAACAATAACAGCCAGAGCCAGAACGCGGTGTCGCGGGTGCCGTCGGCGGCGGTGGCCGAGGCCGATCAATCGGACGCCGACGTGAAGGTGGCCGTGTACGACCTGATCCTCCAGGTGTCGCAGGCGCACCAGGCGCATTGCGGCTTCACGGAGGAGTCGGTGCGAGGCCTCGTGAGGAAACCGATGATAATACCGGTAAGCTATACAGAGAGAGAGAGAGAGAGAGAGAGAGAGAGAGAGGAAGTCTTCCATACAGGCTATCTGACGAAATTTACACATCTGCTTGTATGCAGGTAGAACTCGCCAAAATGAACGCGAAAGTCTTCTATCATTGCAAACAACCACGTAAGATTTTGAGATGTTAATTAAGGAAGATTGGACGAATGATCGCGCGCACTGTGGTGCAGGGTGTGAAGGTAAACGCGATCTTATTGTGTGCATTAGGTCAAACCGAACAGAAAAGACCTCTATCATTTTGCAAATAGTCACGTAGATTTTGTAGTTATTAATTGAAGAAGATTGCGCGTAATTATTCGCAAATTTCTTCCAATTGATAACTCACAAATCTACGTGGTTATTTGCTAAATTGTAGAGGACTTTTTTGTTCAATTGGATCTAATGTACAACACAACGGAAATCGTGTTTACTTTCTTGCAATGCACGCGATCATCTCCTAAATTTCTGGAATTGATAACTCAATACTTTATGCGGTTGTTTGCAAAGTGGTAGAGGACTTTTGTGTTCAGTTTGACGAGTTCTATTGCACACGATTGGATGTGCGAATTGCGTATCAGGCATCTTGTATAAAGAGAAGAGGAAATATGAAACTTCTCGCTGAAACTGGCAGCAACGCAGGTCTGTTTTGTAATCTTGCTGATTAGGCGAGTAATTCTTCGCAGCCCGCCAGCCCGGAGGATCCGGAAGCGGCTTCCTCGACGGCGGAGACCGTCGAGTCGCAGAGGATCTGGTTGTGGCAGCAATTCGCCGTCAGGGTGACGCCGTCGGTCCAAAGGGTGGTGGAGTTTGCGAAACGAGTGCCGGGATTCTGTGATCTCTCCCAGGACGACCAGCTGATCCTGATCAAAGTCGGCTTCTTCGAGGTGTGGCTCAGCCACATCTCGAAAATGACCACCGATAGTTCGATGACCTTTGAAGACGGCACGTACCTCACCCGGCAGCAAATGGAATTGATGTATGAGGTAAAATTGGAGCTTTCTTCCTCTTTTCTCTTCTCTTTTTCTTTTCATCACTACTAACCACTGCCTCGTGGTGCTTCTTGCAATTGAGTTCTTCTCCGCGATGAAAAGATTAACATCGGTCTCTTTTGTTCGGTCGTTTGTCACGATCGACAGCCCGACTTCGTGTCCGCGTTGATGCAAGTCGCGTCGTCGTTGAACGCCCACCAACTGACGGACGCCGAGCTGGGGTTGTTCGCGGCGGCGGTGCTGCTGAGCGAGCGACCGGGTCTGAACGATGTGAAGGCGGTGCAGAGGCTTCAGGACCGGCTTTTAGAGGCACTCAGGGTCGAGGTGTCGCGGAGTCACTCCGCTGCTTCTGGCGACACTGGCTCGGTCTGTTCTGGCAGCGTCTCGCAGAGGATACCCGAGCTGAGAGCGCTCGGCGCCAGGCACGCCAATCTGCTCGATTGGTTCCGGAGAAATTGGGCGAAGCTCAAGTTGCCGCCGTTGTTCGCCGAGATATTCGACATTCCCAAGTGCGAGGAGGACTTGCAATGAGCAGGTAAATGAATCGCACGAGAGATCTCTCTGTAAATTCATCGCGTTCACGAATTCTTGAACTTTGACTTACATAAATCTCGAATATTATATATTAAGTGTGTAATATATAACGAATGTCGTTTCTGTTTTGCAGACCTGGTAGGGCAACCCGAGATAATTCGAGGAAGACCAACGGTGGAGTCAGAAGGAATCCGAATCGTCCAGCACTCAGTGCTCGAGTCCAATTCGGAGAGCCAGCGAGAAACGACGCTGTCTTTCGCGCAGTATTAGGCGATACTGCGACTCGCTGCATTAGGAAATTCAGAAGAGAGAAAGGTGAGAGCGGTGTCAGCTGTCGTCTGGGGCGATATCGAGTCGGCCGTGTGTACTAGTGCGAATTTCCAGCGATGATATCGGAATCGTCAGCCAGCTTCCGCTGCTGATTTGCGGCGAGACATCCCGAGAGAATAACGTGACGGCGAATGGAGGGTAGTATCGTTTGTCGCCTCTCTCGCTGGGAGACTATTCGGCGTAACATTAGGAAATTCAATATTATATTATATTAGGAGAAAGCAAAGCCGAGGAACAGAGCGTCAGTTGTCGAAAAGGGACGCGGTGGTCATCGGCGAAGGATCATTGGATTCGTCGTTGGAATTTTTTGGCGAACCTTCAGGCGACTCCCGCTGATTTGTCTCAAAGATGTCTATATCGATCGCTCGAGGAGGGTGATGGCGATCGCACAGGAGGGAGAACACATCACTCTCGAGAGCCGCGCAAGCAATAGGACGAAGCTCCGGCGAAGAGGTGCGCGCAGCGCCAAGCCCGGCTGGAGATTCGCGAAGCGCAATTTGCTCAAATTCAAGGGAAACGGCTTTGTACTATTCGCCAGGCAATACCACACGTACCAACACGCATTCTCCCGAGCGAGCACATATACCTGAAAATACTCAATCGTCGAGGGAGGATTTCTCTACGCGTCGCTTCTTACCGTCGCGCGACGTATGTAGATGGGGTACGACCGTTTCTTTCTCCGCGCGCTATGAGCGCCACATGGGCAAGCACAAAATGCGTAATCGAGTCATGGACACACATGTTCATTCGTACTCGAGATGTTGTTTCCGCGTTTTTCTGTTTCTTCGGGTATCTCTAAGATTTAAGGATAGAAAACATACACACAGTCATATACACACACAAACACGCGCGCATAAACAGACACACATATACATACATACATACATACAGCGTGCTCATCCGAGCGGGCACTCGTCCGCACGGGAATCCGTGGTAATCGGCCAGATTAGCGTCAGAAACACCAATTACTCAACGGACATATCAGAAATTAAGATTACGAAGTGTTCTCCTCTGTATTAAGCGTTTTCGAGCACGTTCGTGTTTTTTCTCGCGGGCCCGTCGCGATCACGACCAGTTCGAGTTTCGACGCGTGTAGAAAAGCGTATTTTCCCTCACAGAAAATTCAGTCGGCATGAAACTGGCTAATTTCAATAAAATTTAAATAAAAGAGAGGGGGATTTGAGGTGGTGAAAACCACGTTGTTTGTCAGGCTGTGCCTGTCGTCGACCGTTGAGAATAGACAAAAATCCGGACGATGAAAATTGAAGAAGCCGCGTGTGAAGGGAACATCGAGACTCGAACTCCTCGGAATCTCGGCGGCTTCGATCCCGGGGAGAATTGCCGCGACACCCGAGATAACAATGAGCAACAAAAGAGACGCGCGTGCGATCGAAAGTGCGAGGCTCGCGTGATACACGCGCGAGCGCGCACACGCATACGCACGTTACGCATAGATACGCGTACAAACGTTACGCGCTTATGTGCGCGTAGCTATAATAAAAGCTATAATAAAAAAAAAGTCGTATACGCGCGCGAATACGTACATATAAATATATATATATATATAAATTTCACGCTGTAAGGCTCGAGAGGAAATCTTTATAGGACGTATCTCCTTAGATGCATCCGCGCTACGAATCTCAATCTATGCAATCTCTATTTTTATTACTCGAAAAGTAGAATAGCGAATTATCTCGATAGATATATATATATATACATAATTATATATTGCCGCGCCGCGCTTCGGGAGGGGAGAGCCGTTCCGGACGGAAGACGCGAACGAGTAAAGCGGAACGCGACGGCGCTTCTCGGATCAAAGTTCCTCAATTAATCGCGCACGGCGAACGTTGTCGTCGCGTTGATCGCGCCACAAGTTTACGGATTCGTTCTCGCAAGTTCGCAAGTCGACGAGTCCGACGCGACTTGTAAGTTCCTGGAGTAAATCCTATACCTGGAGGTATAGTGAACGGCTGCGATAGATCGGTACTTATGCACGTATGTACAAATGGCTGCGCGAACGAAACGTGTACCGGCGATCATATACAACACGCGCACACGTACACACAATACACACACGCGCGCATATATAAAATACATACAATACGTACATGTCATTCAGAAATTTTTACCTGAGTCGCGATTTCACGCGGAACGATCCCGAAGCGAGCGCGATCTTCAAACTTTGAACACTAATAACTCTCTGACAATGACTAGCATATAATGCATAACGATATATCATTGTATGTGCGAACAAATGAGAGAGAGTGTGTGTGTGTGTGTGTGTGTGTGTGTGTATGTTTGTGTGTACCACGTTTGTGTGCGGGCGTTGTGCCGGGCGCGTGAATGCTCGTTGTGCGCGAGTGCGAATTCGAGTGCGCGTATTATTTCCTTTCTCTTTTCTTTTTCTTTTTCGAAATACTCATCCGTGAAGTATTCGCGGGGATAAAAAAGAGAGAAAAGAAATCTATTGATATATAGATATCACATCGTTTTATTCTCACTGGACGTACTTAAAGTTACGTGACCTATCGGTTTGTCGCGATCATTCAAATCGAAAGGGAATCGAAGACGCCGCATCTTTGCGACATTAGAGAACAAGGAAGACGAGATTTTCGATTTTTATCTTTGTCACTCTCTCTTTCTTTCTCTCTCTCTCTCTCTCTCTCTCTCTCTATCTATCTCTTTCGCCCTCTTTCTCTCTAAGCGCTCACATCAAGTTGTGAATAAACATATCATACTTAATTAATATATTGGACAAAGAGGATATCATCGTTTAATATAATATAAATATATATATATATATATATATGAAAAAAAATATATATATGTATATTGCAAAGGGACATTATGAAACTATATTGCAAAAAGAGGTAGCTATTAATCGCGTTTATGTCGAGCGAATCGCAAGATAGACATATCTTACGCGACCACCGTAACGATCACGATCACGATATAGTGTTCTCTCGTTTTTTCGTTTCTCGTTCTTTATTCTAATCCTTGTAATCAGTAAATGAATGGTCTCTCGACTCTCTTGTGATCCAGTGTAAGAAATCGAGCGTGCACGACTCGCTCATTGATCGTGTTATGTCATTGTTTTCCGCTTTCATTCGATCGTCGCCGGACGGCGCGAAGAGGTGAGAAAAGTGTTGACTGGCGTTCGGACATTTCTCTCTCCGCCGCGTTGCGTCGTGGTGTTTTTTTCCAAATTTCTAGTCCGACGAATCAGTCGCCGAGGTAGCAATCGTGAATTGAGGTGTTCTCGCAAACGTTGCTGGAATATATAATTATATAAACGGCCAAATACATTATATATATATATATATATATATATATATATATATATATATA